TTGTTTTAACGCAAACCAAAGATGCCTTTTAAAAAACAAGTTTACATCATATTCTTATGCATGCCAGTGCTGTGTGTGAGGTAATTTAAGGTGGTTCTGGCAAGTGTCATCGGCATCTTCATATCCGGTCACATGGGCGGCAAGCCACTCCCATCCAGTCACATGGGTAAGCCACTCCCACAAAGGAGGCCACACCCACAGAGTAGGTTCGAACAATTTTTGAAACCCACCACTGACCAGTGGTAAAGCAATAACTCCACCCTGCCCTTTATTCTTACACCATCCAAGGGTGTAAAATCTGTGGCTCATGTCTTTTTAAGATGATTTTAAAGTAAGGCAATAGGAGAGAATCATGATGAGGATGGAACATATATCAGTCTAATTTTTTTTTGCCACCTCAAGGATAATGGTTAGCATGTCTATTCTGTTATGAAGGAAAATACCTGGCTTATTTCAACCAGTTTGTAATTAAACATTTGTTTCTGAAAAATATTTAGAATTTCAGGTTGGTTACTGCAATCTATTTCTAGAAGGCTTCAAACAATTACACCCCACAATAAACAACAGTTAATTTTTTACTTGACTTTTGAAATGTTACAGTAGGAAACAAACCAGAACTAGTCTGAATGCACTTTTCAAGATCAATTCTCCTAGTTGTTATGTAAACCAATATTAGGAGATTAATTTTGTATTACAAAGAAAATCAACTTTGAAAATATTGCACTATAGTAGACATTATTGATTAGAGAACATGCTGCTGTATTTATAACATGTATGAATTATAGATAACTTTAAAAAATAACCTTATTAATGTCAAGTAGTAGAGATATAATGGAAATATAAACAATGCATATTCATTCATGATTATATATTTTTGAGAGTACAAATAATTATTCTACACTGACTGTATTAAAAATAATCATAATAAAATTTACCATGTTTTATACTTTCCACTGAGTTTTTAATTATGAAAATCTAGAATTATGCTTTAATTACCAGTAATAGTTTAACTAAAATTAAGTAGAATATAACTTCTTGATCACATGGTCCAAGTAGGCTTCTGTAATCAACTGGCATATTATCAAAACCAGTCAAAATAATAACATTTCAAAAAATCATATTACCCTGAGAGTCAGTTTCATTGTACATTTGTATTCAGGATTTTTTTCATATTTTATTGTACATCACCATTTGTGACATACATGGTTAAAGCAATTCTGTTTCTTTTCCTTACTATTACACCCAAGAATAGGTTTTGCATAGGAATCATTTCCACATATTATACTCATGATGGCACATAACCAATTAATGCTAATCATAAATGACATATTTTACCCTGCTTAGAAATTGGTCCTGACTGAAATTGCTATAATATAAAGTTATACTGTATCATATTGAAATCAGTGTCTAGATTCTATGTAAAGCTATACAATTATGCATATGCATATCTCAAGCAACTCAAAAACATTCCAGTGGACAGTGCACAACTTATGAAATAAGTATATATAGGAATTATAGCATTCATTACCGCATTCATTCTACTAGAAAAGTCCAATCTACTTCCATAGTAAATGCCAGATGCAATCTCTTATATAAAAACTGCAATAAATGGAGATTATTCAGATGCACTACATTTATTTAAATGAAATCTCTTATGCCCATGACCATTGTTGGACTGAAGCATAAATTCCAATCTGGTTTTATAATATTAGCTATGTATATTTTATGTTTAAACATCAAATTATCCTGTATTTAAAAATTTAGAACTGTGTAGCAGTTTGCTTGCATCATTTCATCCCTGTTTTATAGCACTATTGTTACAACAATAGGAGCACAAAAGCCAAAATCAAAGTAAACAGGCATCTTTTTGCTTTCCAGAAAAAAAGATGGTATAATTCACATATTCATTTCAATAAAGAGGTAAAATAATTTCTGTGTATTGTTTCATAAGCAATGAAGTAAAAGAAACCACAGATACAAATTTGACCATTTTTTAATATCCTTCATCTGCAAGTCATTCATTATATTAGTATGTTGTGTATTTCATGTACAAGCAAAAAGATCAGGGAAAAATTAGAGAAACTGATGTCATGCAAGTAAGTACTCTTACATCTAGCCTAGGAATTTACAATTAATGAATTGCAAATTTAGGCTTGTAAAAATTATTCTCAGTGGAAAAGATGGTGTTTTATAATAACCACAACATCTGGATTAGATGCTGCATAGAACCCAAACCATTACAAAAATGAAAGACCCCAAGCATTTGAGCTCTGCTCATGCTACTGACCGACAGAGATGGTTAAATTGGAGGGGTGCCTCCATAGCCCTGCTGTAATCTCAGAAAGAGTACAAAGGAGAAGGGTGATCAACTACCCATCTTCAAACACTTCAGCTGGAGCTATGGACCAGGACAGCTATTAAGAAAATAAGATAACCAAGTCATAGCACAGGTGAACACAGTGCCATATATGCATATATACGTATCACATTTTTCCTTGCAGAATGCAGAAAGGGGTTAAGAAATAGTAAGCCAAATGAATTAAAAACATGAAGTAAGAAAAAAGAAATATACACTATTCATTCTACCTTTCCATACTTTCAATATTTGTAAGTGATCTTTGTACTGATTTAAACATAGACTTTTGCTTGTTAAACTACTCATCTCTTTCTTTTTGGAAAATCGATCCAACCACAACTTTCTGTTTTCACTTTTGTCTTGACTAATTCATTCTTCATATATTGTAGTAATTAGAGCCTCCTTTGTTCTGTTTATATGACCAAAGCACCCCATCATGCTTCTTTCAGACTAATATTCAACTTCCTATTCATTCTACATTCATTCACCACTGGTTCATTCTTGAACTTTTCTTTTTTTTTCTTTTTACAACACATACTTTGTTTGCACTGCATTCAGCTTACTGTGATATTTCTCCTACTCTCTTTTAATCCAACAAGTAGAGAAGAACATACCTCACACACCGACTCTTTTGCTTCTTCTGACCAATATTCATTGTTTGCAACAAGCCATAAACAATCCACTACCTGCTGCCAGTATTTGCACATCTTAAAACATCTCCACTCATTTTTCTAACTTTATATAACTTGCAACCATTCTCTTAAGTTTTTCCCTCTTCAATAGGACTGCCTTGGTATTTGAATAATTGACTGGCAGATTAATATTTCTTGATGCATTGTATAATCTCTTTCACTGCAAATCACTGGGGATTTGCACAGAGAATGCTAACAACATGCTATCATCTGCATACAAAGGTACATTCACATTTATGTTGCTAGGCAATACACCCTCATTTTCACTACAACCTTTCCTTATACATTCATCCATACATGTATTAAAGAACCAAAGAGACATTAGACTTTGTTTTTTCCCTTGTTC